CTACTAGTGGCCCTGGCCTTACTACTAGGAGCAAGGACGCTACCTAGGGGCTCCTGGCCTTACTACTAGGAGCAAGGACGCTACTAGGGGCTCCTGGCATCGCTACTAACTAAAACAAGAAGCTACTAGGGGCTCTTTCACTCTTGGACGTACTCAGGAAACAAACTGTCGATGTGTACAATAGTAATTGGATGTAAGACTTCCACAAGGACATATAATATAGTTATATATAGTTATCTGAACCTCTGTTGCCTCTAGTCTAGTTTCTTTTCGATGCTTTTCTACTGTCTCTTCTTGGCCCCCATCTTATTTCTCCCCGCTTGTTTCTTATTGCAGTGCCTTGTATGGCAATTTTTTGCACATGTTTCTAGGAGGTATTCTACTAACAGTGGATTGGGGCTTTCCAACAGGAAACACTGGACACAAACAATTCAACATCTCAAACTGCGACTGCGTCAATTCCTGTATCAATTCGAACGTGTCAAAATACGATTGTGAAGCTTTTGGAACTTCTACAGGCTTTTGCTTCTGATCCCTTACGTCCTCTTTCTCTGCAACGGCACAGTTTATCTTGTTTGTGCCGTCTTATCCATTCAATCTTTTGTGTTCTCTCTCACTACCTCTTATTGCCCACAGATCTCACTTTTGATGCTTACCTCATGTGCACCCATCTCTTTTTCCATTTCATTTCAACAACTGTTTGTGGCGGAAACCAATTTCGTGTGACACCACAACATACACGTTTAAACAAACTTAATGAATTCAACTAGCAATTCTCCGTCTATTCGCATATCTGCCGAAGCACGAGCCAAATTCTGTGGCATGCCAGTGAGGGTGGAGAAAAGGGCACCAGCTTCGGCGTATTGAGATACTAGCGTCGTCATCATCAATAGCAAGAACAGAACAGAGATGACAATTTCACCTACAGCGTGTCTGCAGGGGATAAAGAGCAGCCACTGGTACCTCTAGCTGGTTCAAACAAAAGAACAACATTCGTGCATGGATCCTTGACCATGACTGCATCTGAGCAGGTAAGGAACGAGTGACCCTTGCTGCCCAGCCTCCTCTGCGCTGCAACTGCAAAGCTGACCTCATTGTCACCGGAAAAAAAGAAACTTCCCACTTGGTGCACCCGTCTGCTTCCCAGGCATGTGATCCTCCGAAGCTTGCGAAGGTATATATATATATGCAAAGATCGCTGTAAGCAAAAGCAGAATACTCCAAAATATGAAAGCAAAAGGCATCCCTGTGAAAGTGTTGTGGGATCCAAAATTAGGAGCAGCTTCTCGACGAAATTGAATGCTGTCTATTTAACATAGACTTGCTAACTTGTGCATATGTGTTCCTGGACATGATCCAGAATCCAGAGTGCATCAAAGAACTTATATAACAGACCCAAACAGACCCAATATAGATTCTATATAGGATTAGTTGACCAGGGTACCGCTGACTCCTGAATCACACCGTAGCTAGATGATCCACCCTCACCTACAAAGTAAACGTTCATCCTAGGCACTGCTTCGCCTTTTGACTCCTCGACCAACAGGTCTGTAGCCACTTGAGCCTGGTGGAAGCTTCAGATTTCAAGGTGGTGTATGTTGAGCATGCAGCAAAGTCTCACCACAGAGCTCCCTCGTTTGGCTAGAAGAGGCTCGATGAGGTCTGCTGATCATGGCAAGGCCCAGGGGCGATCCATCGCACAAAGGACCGTGTGACACAATGAAACATTTGGACATTTTGATATAACATGGAGTGAAGTCCTGGACAAAAAGGAGCGCCCAGGAGAAGAGCATCACCACAAATGATGGTACCTGGATATGGACAATCATGCCCAGCTCATTGGTGTTCCAACTTATTTTTTTTATTCCAGACTTTTCGAAGGCTTCGAACTCAACGGCTCGATGTGGCACGAAGCCCGATGGGGCGGTGGTGTAGGGCAACGCCAAGAAGCCGCCTCCAATAGCAGTTCCAGTCACCTGTCCGAGTTGAAACCGGCGTGCTTTGCCCGAAACGAAGCTCGACCGAACGAGAACGAGGACAGGTTCGTGCACATTCTATGGTTTTCAGGGGGGTTGTGTCCAAACGATGGGAAGGGTGCAGAAGAAAGATCCAGAGAATCCCTGAATGTAGAAAGGAGATTAAAGGAGATGAGATGAACAACGAATTCATTTTTTGAAGTGAAGCTCCGACTGCAATGGTGTGGCAATCAGTGATTCAAAAATCTGCTCCATGATGCTCCATGTACACACTGAGGCTGCTGCAAGAACGGCCGCGGCAGTGTCTTTCGAATTCCATGAGCTCTCTTGCGTGGATGGTACTGCTCCACTATCCCTCCTCGGAGTGTCCACCACTTCGAATCACTTCAACACGACACCCATGCCTCTAAGCCAATGACTCAATAAGCCCCCGAGGCTAGCTACAGCGTGTTACTTTCTGGGATAGGTTGCTTTTAGGTACTGGCTCCAACTTTTCTGAGTACTGAGCATCCAAGCCTATTGCAAAAAAAAGCGGTATCAATATAAACGGCTTGTCTTCATCTCAAGTTGCACATGCCAAGTGGCAATATGTTTGACAGCTGACGCAATCTTTGTCTTTGGCTGGAAACAGCAAGCAATGGATATTGGCGTCCTGCACCCAGTCAAATAAGACCTTCTGCATTTTTCTGGTCCCAAATAGGTATGACCACTAACATACAGTTGACAACAATGATAGGTATCAGTAGAAGATCCGGCATTGGCGTAGTCAATCTAGCATCACAGGAGTCATACACCAACAACATCGACATCATTTTCAGTAGCCTTGGAGGTGGTGAAGAGCACATCCTACACACTTCCTGCAAATGAAAGAAGAGCTCAAGCCAATGCATGCTCCCTCCAAGGACAACTGCTAGACCTGGTTATTCAATTTGGATCAACAAAGAGCATCAAACGGCTTAGGGCCTAGCGCTGGATTGTTGGCAAGCTCTCAACACGGCAATGTGTCAACATTACCAAGCCGGTTTCTTTCGTGCCGTGGTCTTGCCTGCCAGGCAAGTGGTGATAAGGCGTTGCCTGGATGCTTCTCACCTGGCAAAACAGCTTCTTGTCACACTTGACTTCACACGACTTCACCAGGGCAAGAAAAACACATGCAACTACCAGGATACTCTGTTCTAGCCCAAGATCACATAGACTGTGCACATCTTTGCACTCAATTGTTTTCTTTGGCCTGGCCAGCGAAGGACTGTCTGACAGGCATGCAAAGATTTGCCATGGCCATGGCTTGGAAGGTGAGTCTTTGGCACTCCTCTGAAGCCGCATCGATCTTTGTGTTGTGCCGATGGTCTCAGAATGTCTCATGCTGACACCAAAACATTTTTCACATGTCGATGTTGTTCAAGCCGACCCATTCTGGAGCCCAGAAGTAGCTCCACACGCCCGAGCGGCTTTGCGCACTGAAACATTGGGACGCTCGTCGTGACCACGAGGTGCAGCAACCAAAGGCACCTTAAGACCTAAAGCTGCAGCACATCGCTCTGTTGCTTCTTGGGCATATCGCAGCTCAACCTGCAAAAGGAACCAATACAAATACCATTCCTTGTACTTTGCCACTTTTTATGTGTGAGGCCGTGCAACGTTTAACGTTTGAATCAGTTTGCAGGGAGATTGATTTGATCGATTTGCCAAAGTGCTCCCGTACTCCCAAAGTTGACCAGTCTTGGCCTCATCCTCGTCACCCAGGAGCGGCCAACGCATTGCACAGGAATGCGATGTCCGTCGACCATCCTGAACCACCTGAGGGCTTGTATCGCAAGTAGCACTGAGCAGCCTAACAGCCTACCAGTAGCTGCTGCCTAGGAATCCCTAGAAGCCTTCCCTCATTGCCTTTTCTTTCGTTCACAGAAACATTCTCATCACAAAGCTTCACGCAATCTGCCTGGCCAAAGCGATCCTTCTGCAGGCTTGGTTGAAAGCCCTGCCGCTCCTGGATCAGCGAACATCAACGTCAGGAGCCAAACAATCGGCAATAACGATGCATCTGCTCTCTGGCATCGTCTCATCGTGTGCCACTTCAGCGGAACCCGTCCCACTGATGGCTATGTTCTTCTACGAAGCACTACCCTACAGCTGTTTCTCCCTTAAGGTCGAAGATTCTGTGCCAAAAACGCAAGGAATGCTTTTTGTTCGGCAGCCAATGTCCACCGGTCCCTGACATTGTGCCTCACAAAGGGAAAGTAAGCGTTGCAACTCGAAGCCTTCAAAAAGGCCTGAGTCACTGTCAGCTTCTTCTTCTTCTACAATGGTGAGCGAAAGCACAAACCTTTGAAAACATGAACTTTACTTGGGTTGCAGTGTTTTCAGACTGACGCAAACAGCATCAGAGTTGTTGGGCTGTGATGGAACAATCACAATTTCCAGAAGTTTCTCAAAGTGTCACATTGAGCCAGCAGCCTTCCACAAGGCTCACCTTGAGCTCCTGACTTCCGATAGCTCACACGACCGTCCAAAGCAGGTCACAGAAAGCTTCGGATTGTCTCCTCAGGTCCAGTGAGGCGCCGGAAGACCACGCGCCGGTCGTTGACATATTGGACATCATAGGGCTCCGGGATCGACAAGGATTTTCCATATCGCAACACCTGGCGAAACAGCGAACATGGCACTGAAACATCGAAAAAACACATCAAGGTGAAAACCATTCGTGTTCATGATACCATATAATACCTTTCTCACTTTCAAACACTCATTAGGAATCATAATATGATATTATGATGTGTGTTCTGAAGGCGTTTCCTCAGCCCAAGAGTATTGAGCCTGCCCCTGCTGGCCATGTCTGACCTCGAGTGCCATTCAGTGCTGCATCTGGTGAGAGGAGTTTGTGCTCTTTGACTTGAAACCAAGGGCAAACACTGAAGCCAGCTGCTCACTCACTCAGACGAAGCATCCAAAAACATTGAGATCAGGTGAAACATGGTAAAACACAGCAAGCAAAATTGGTCATTCGCTAGTCTAAGTAGAATGAATTTATCATCTGTCACGGAGAAACAAACAGGCCAAGGCACGTCAAATCCTCCTTTCATCTCTGCATCCCACCAGTCGTAAATGCGTCGAGGTGCTTTTTCAAGCAAACCACCTCAACGAATGTCGTAACATAGAACTGGTTTTCTTTACTCCTTTCATGTCCACTGCTCTTCAAGAATAGAACAACCTGCATTGCACTTTCAAGCAGCTGGTTGAACGATCTTCTTCCACAAAGCTCCGCCACTTGTCCAAGCCCACTGTGACCTGCCTGGGTCAAGGACTCCGCATAACGACGGTTCAAAAACTAGGAAGCAAAGCCCATGCGTTCTTGACAATGCTGCACCTCGTGAAGCGAGCTGCTTCTGCACGGTGACTACCTGAGCAAAGGGGCTACACAGCCTGAAATGAATATGCATTCAAAACAACTTTGCTGAAATGCATATTCTTGCACTCCTTTCCCTCAGGCTTCGAGAAAACACTTCCATTAACGATGAGATTCATGCCACAAAACTTTTCAGCCCTTAGACACACAAGGGCTCAAACACAAACACAAGCAAAGTTAGTGCCCACATCCCTTTTTTACTTCATAATGTGAGGCCCACCCTGTGGGACAAAGGCGAGAGACAGGTGCTATGACACGCTGTGAAGGAGTTCACTGGTCATGAGGCCTCTGTCACCTCTGTGGTGTTTGGTGGTCGAATGAACTCATGTATGCAGTAAAGCAATATAAGGTCACTACAGAGGTGAGAAGAATCTGCCATCTACTGCATTCAAGTGCTTGGATGTGTTTGGGTGAAGCATCATAAAACTAAAAAGGGATGATGATGGATGACTCCCGTTTGCTAGGTCACAGCTATTCAAGATTTATCAAGATTTCAGTTCCACCACGATAACCCACCAGAGGGAGCAAGAAACCATCGGCGAAGGAAGCATCAAGGTACACAATCAGTGACGGCTTAGTGTAGCATGCATTTGAGGATCGACAAAGTGATCCGACCAAGTTCCTTCAAGGAGGGGTCAACTGTGGGCTGTGTCATACCATTGAATTGGCTAAAAACGAAGCATGTCCAGCACACATGGAAAAGAGCCAGCTCAAGTCACCCTGTAATCTGCTGGCGTCATCCAGAAGTAGTGTATTTGGGATGGGAAGAGCGAGCAAATTCCAGCGTCAATTCATCGGCGAAGTGTGCAGCAGCACACCACAACAAGCGGGAAGGCCCCACTCCACATACATGCAAGCTGCATCAAGCCGCCATCCAACATTCGGAACGAAAACTGCAACACTCAAAAAGGTCAGTTGAGCATCGGGCACAGGCCGCATCGGGTCGCCCATGCTGGACTTCGACCCATTCAAATGGACCGCTTGACTTGATGTCTAACTTAACCTAGTGTCCACCATGTGGGCCACTGAGGCGCAAACAACAACATTGACAGTGGTGATGGTTTCGTGATGTTTTGTGAATTACAGTACTGTGTGAACATTCTATTTATGACAACTTTGTACTGTAAGGTTTTCCTCAAACAGTTTACTGTTGGGGTTCTCTCTTAAGAGAAAAGGGACTGGCCACTCTGTGTCGAGGTGTTGTCCTCTTCTTGTCCTCTTTGTGGCCTGCTCCCCTCCTCCTCCTGGCGTCCTCCCGTTGGTGCGCATGCATGTTCAGCCACCATCTGTCTCAAGCAACATAACTCATGAGTAGCACCAAAGAGGCAGCGGGGGCCATCAAGGTCTACAAGATCTACATCTCGACCAAAATATCACGGGGCGCAACAAAATGGATGCAACAATCCTAGCCAAGTTTGGGCGAATTTTGTTGACCCGACCCACTTGGGCGGGGTCAAGTTCAAGCAGTCCTGCTCCTACCCAATCTTAGTCCCTGGGCGGAATCAAGTCACCCACCCAGGCAAACAACGCGCGCACACAAAATGCTGGCCCTACAGTACCCTTAAATCACATTCACATCACAATGATGTGATGTATGGCGGGCCTCCAACTCAAAATCGAATCTGCGCAAAACCAAGGGTCCCAACCTGCCAGCATGGGCCGGGTGGGGGATCACCGATTTGGATCACTCGCGCACCACAGGGCTCTAAACTGCTGTAATGGTTGCCTATATGAATCAGGTACCAGAGGTCAGAGTCTGCAGCCATGATCATTTGCGCACCGAGGATTTCTTCCATACATCTCTTTCACGCGCAAATGGCAGGGGGTGGGGTGGGGTGGGGGGCTAATGGCATGATTTGTGGATGGCTACAAAATCCCAGTTGACATCTGTGCGCAACCGAAACTTTTAAGCGAGCATGCCTAGCCTATTACACGCAGTTGTCCGTGATCTGAAGATTGCCATGGGTGGGGGGGTGGGGGGGGGCAATGGAAATCGCTTGCGCACTCCATATGCCCAAGACCACTCCCGAATCGCTTGTTCCCCACATTGACGTGTGGGGTTTTTAGTTTTTAGTGTTGGCCTCCTCCCGCCCTCCTCTTGCCACCAAGCAATTGCCACGAACCAATTTTCAACAACAAATTGTCAACAACCAATTCTCATCAACCAATTGTCAACAAGCAATTTTCAAGAACCAATTTTCAACAACCAGTTGTCAACAACCAATTGTCATCAACCGACTGTCATCAACCAATTGTCATCAACCAGTTCTCGCCCACCAATTGTCACCAACCAATGTCATCAACCAATTGTCATCAACCAATGGTCACCAACCAATTGCCACCAACCAATTGCTACCAATGATTTGCTTGCCACTTGTCTTCTCCAGGGGGTCGGATGTACGCCCCGGCGCTGGCTGGCGCTGCTGGGTCTCCGCCGCTGTTCCGCTGTGATCTGCGTGCGAGGTTCAAAACGCTGTGTTTTACAGGGTTTTGTGGGCGTGGAAGATCCACAATTTGGACAGTGGCGAAATGCAAAAACCGTGGGTTTTACAAGGGTGGTGTCGGTAGTGCGCGCCGGCGGCGCCGGCCGAGCGTGCGTAATCGGAAGTTTTGAGTCATGGGCCCGTGTCAACGCAAATGGCGCAAAATGTACCCCAAGATGAGCCAACAGAGGCCCCCAAGTAGGTCCAAGAAGGGTTTACATAGCCCCAAGATGGCCTAACACAGGCCCAAGATGGCCCAACATAGGCCCCGGGCCAATATGGGCCAACAACAACAACTGGTGGGTGGCAATTGGTTGGCGTGACAATTGATTGATGACAATTGGTTGAGGACCATGTTTTTTAGAAAAACAGGCACTCAAAAATAATCGTTTCAGAAGGGCAGAGACCTACCAACCATTTGTCACCAACCAACTGCCACCAACCAATTGTCACCAACCAATTGCCAC